CTCCCATCTCGGAGGCGAGCAACTAAATCCAGTCCCTTCCCAACAGAGCAGCTGGCTCTCTTTGGGGTCCCTGCCTGCCCTTCCTCACCATCTGGCTCCCAAGAAGCTCTCCAGCCCCCTCCCGCCACCATGGTCTGCATGGAGCTTGGGGCACAGCACCCTCTCTGGGGCAAGGGGATGGGCGGAACCATGGTCACCAGCACTTTAGACTCTGTGATGCATTTGGCCTCGGGGCTGGGGGGCACTTGGCTGCCCCCCTCCATCCAGGAAGGCCAGGCCAGAACTGCTGCTCTCTTCAACGCTCCAGAAAACGTCACTTGCCTTAGTCCATGGCACAGCCATCACCATGAGATGGCTCTTCTGTGGGGATATGTTCCCCATGTTCCTGCTGGACACCCAACAAGCCACCCAGACTTGTTTCGCTGTCTTACATTCCTTGGCCTTTTTGGTCGAAAAGGACTTCGTTGTTTTTTTGGGTTTTTTTTGTTTTTTTATTTTGTTTTTAATTCATTCCCACGTCTGGCAACAAAATTTCTTCTGCGAGAAATAAAGGGGATGAAGGTCAAGCAGCCACGTTGGGATGGGGACCATCCAGTCATGGCCCTTCTCAGCAGTAGGTTAGGTTTGCAGGATGAGTTGGGGCCCGAAATAAATATATCAATAAATTAAAAAAGAGATCAAAACCACCCAAAAGCAGGGTAGAAAAGGAGGGGGTTTTTTTCCCTTAATAATGGTCCTTTGGCCATTTCCAAATTTCAGAAGGAGAACCAAAGCCTATTTTGAGTATTTTAACTTAACAGTTGCTTGAAAAGTTGAAGGAAAATTTTTGGAAGGATCAAAAAAAAAAAAAAATTGATCAGGAGGTTATTGTTGGTTGGTTTGGTTTTTTTAAAAAACCCTTGGTTTGCAAAAATAAACCACATGGGAATTTTTAGTCGTTTCAAGCCAAAGAATCAGAATTCTGAAATGTCTGGGGTCTTTTTCTTCATTCCCCCTAATCCCTGTAAACATCTGGATGGCAAAATTGTACAAAACTGGGGGACTTGAGCGTCCCCGAATCTGCAGCGTCGATGGGAAAAAATGTGCAAATATCCCTGCTCCTTGTCTCCAGGGGTCTCTGTGGAAATGAAGTCCACTGAAGATGTCTTGCAGATGAGATGGTCTACTTGCAAGCAAGTAGAAATGCTGTTTTGGCACCATTTGTTGGTTCAAAAGATGAGGTTGTAACGTATTATGGGGTGCTCCAAACTGAAGGTCGCCCATGGTGGCCACCAGGTCTGGGGACCTCCCCATCATCCTTGCTGACCTTATCTAATAGTTCTTCTGAGGCCAAAAAAATGGCAGATTGGCTGGAATTGCCCCACAAACCTCCTTAAGCCCCTAAAAACATGAGCTGCTTTTGAGGATAAAGGCTTTTGATGGCCCATCTGTCCCTGATGGCTCCTCTTAGACCTGCTGGGACCCCAGATAGCTAAGATGGTTCACAGCAGGTGCCCCAGGAAGCTGGTTCTACAGGAACCCAGCTCTCCAAATTGTAAATGCAACACATTAGGGC